GGCTAAATGCCCCAATCAAAAGACACAGGCTATCAGGTTGGATCAAAAAACAAGACCCATCGATATGCTGTCTGCAAGAGACTCATTTTAGACCCAAAGACACCCCCAGATTGAAAGTGAGGGGGTGGAAAACCATTTACCATGCTAATGGACACCAAAAGAAAGCTGGGGTGGCAATCCTTATATCAGACAAATAAGATTTTAAACTAAAAACTGTGGTAAGAGATGAGGAAGGACACTATATCCTACTGAAAGGGTCTATCCAACAAGACGACCTAACAATTGTAAATATCTATGCCCCTAACATGGGAGCAGCCAATGATATAAAGCAATTAATAACAAAAGCAAAGAAACACATCGACAACAATACAATAATAGTGGGGGACATTAACACCCCCCTCACTGAAATGGACAGATCGTCTAAGCAAAAGATCAACAAGGAAATAAAGACTTTAAATGACACACTGGGCCAAATGGGCTTCACAGACATATTCAGAACATTCCATCCCAAAGCAACGGAATACACATTCTTCTCAAGTGCCCATGGAACATTCTCCAGAATAGATCACATCCTAGGTCACAAATCAGGTCTCAACCAGTACCAAAAGACTGGAATCATTCCCTGCCTATTTTCAGACCACAATGCTTTGAAACTAGAATTCAATCACAAGAGGAAAGTCGGAAAGAACTCAAATACATGGAGGTTAAAGAGCATCTGACTAAAGAATGAATGGGTCAACAAGTAAATTAAAGAATAATTAAAAAATTCATGGAAACCAATGAAAATGAAAACACAACTGTTCAAAATCTTTGGGATGCAGCAAAGGCAGTCCTAAGAGGAAAGTATATAGTAATACAAGCCTTTCTCAAGAAACAAGAAAGGTCTCAAGTACACAACCTAACCCTACACCTAAAGGAGCTGGAGAAAGAACAGCAAATAAAGCCTAAACCCAGCAGGAGAAGAGAAATAATAAAGATCAGAGCAGAAATCAATGAAATAGAAACTAAAAGAACAGGAAAACAGATCAACAAAACAAGGAGCTGGTTCTTTGAAAGAATTAACAAGATTGATAAACCCCTGGCCAGACTTATCAAAAAGAAAAGAGAAATGACCCAAATCAACAAAATCATGAATGAAAGAGGAGAGAACACAACCAACACCAAAGAAATACAAACAATTTTAAGAACATATTATGAGCAACTCTGTGCCAGCAAATTAGATAACCTGGAAGAAATGGATGCATTCCTAGAGATGTATCAACTACCAAAACTGAACCAGGAAGAAATAGAAAACCTGAACAGACCTATAACCACTAAGGAAATTGAGCCAGTCATCAAAAATCTCCCAAAAAACAAAAGCCCAGGGCGAGATGGCTTCCCAGGGGAATTCTACCAAACATTTAAAGAAGAATTAATACCTATTCTTCTGAAACTGTTCCAAAAAATAGAAATGGAAGGAAAACTTCCAAACTCATTTTATGAGGCCACCATTATCTTGATCCCAAAACCAGACAAAGACCCCATCAAAAAGGAGAATTACAGACCAATGTCCCTGATGAACATGGATGCAAAAATTCTCACCAAAATACTAGCCAATAGGATCCAACAGTACATTAAAAGGATTATTCACCACGACCAAGTGGGATTTATCCCTGGGCTGCAAGGTTGGTTCAACATCCGCAAATCAATCAACGTGATACAATACATTAACAAAAGAAAGAACAAGAATCATAGGATCCTCTCAATAGATGCAGAAAAAGCATTTGACAAAGTACAGCATCCTTTCTTGATCAAAACTCTTCAGAGTATAGGGATAGAGGGTACATACCTCAATATTATAAAAGCCATTTATGAAAAACCTACAGCAAATATCATTCACAATGGGGAAAAACTGAGAGCTTTCTCCCTAAGGTCAGGAACGCGGCAGGGATGTCCACTATCACCACTGCTATTCAACATAGTATTAGACGTCCTAGCCACAGCAATCAGACAACAAAAAGAAATCAAAGGCATCCAAATTGGCAAAGAAGAAGTCAAACTCTCACTCTTTGCAGATGATATGATACTTTATGTGGAAAACCCCAAGGACTCCACCCCAAAACTGCTAGAACTCATACAGGAATTCAGTAGAGTGGCAGGATATAAAATCAATGCACAGAAGTCAGTGGCATTCCTATACACCAACAACAAGACAGAAGAAAGAGAAATTAAGGAGTCGATCCCATTTACAATTGCACCCAAAACCATAACATACCTAGGCATAAATCTAATCAAAGAGGCAAAGGATTTGTACTCAGAAAACTATAAAATACTCATGAAAGAAATTGAGGAAGACACAAAGAAATGGAAAAACGTTTCATGCTCATGGATTGGAAGAACAAATATTGTGAAGATGTCAATGCTACCTAAAGCAATCTACACATTCAATGCAATCCCCATCAAAATACCACCCACTTTTTTCAAAGAAATGGAACAAATAATCCTCAAATTTGTATGGAACCAGAGAAGAACCCGAATAGCCAGAGGAATGTTGAAAAAGAAAAGCAAAGCTGTCATCATCAAGACAGTATGGTACTGGCACAAAAACAGACCCATAGATCAATGGAACAGAATAGAGAGCCCAGAAATGGACCCTCAACTCTATGGTCAACTCATCCTTGACAAAGCAGGAAAGAATGTCCAATGAAAAAAAGACAGTCTCTTCAACAAATGGTGTTGGGAAAATTGGACAGCCACATGCAGAAGAATGAAACTGGACCATTTCCTTACACCACACACAAAAATAGACTCCAAATGGTTGAAAGACCTCAATTTAAGACAGGAGTCCATCAAAATCCTAAAGGAGAGCACAGGCAGCAACCTCTTTGACCTCAGCCGCAGCAACTTCGTCCTAGAAACATCGCCAAAGGCAAGGGAAGCAAGGGCAAAAATGAACTATTGGGACTTCATCAAGATAAAAAGCTTTTGCAAAGCAAAGGAAACAGTCAACAAAACCAAAAGACAACCGACAGAATGGGAGAAGATATTTGCAAATGACATATCAGATAAAAGGCTAGTATCCAAAATCTATAAAGAACTCATCAAACTCAACACCCAAAGAACAAAGAATCCAATGAAGAAATGGGCAGAAGACATGAACAGACATTTTTCCAAAGAAGACATCCAAATGGCCAATAGACACATGAAAAAGAGCTCAACATCGCTCGGCATCAGGGAAATCCAAATCAAAACCTCAATGAGATACCATCTCACACCAGTCAGAATGGCTAAAATTAACAAGTCAGGAAATGACAGATGTTGGCAGGGATGCGGAGAAAGGGGAACCCTCCTACACTGTTGGTGGGAATGCAAGCTGGTGCAGCCACTCTGGAAAACAGTATGGAGGTTCCTCAAAAAGTTGAAAATAGAGCTACCATATGATCCGGCAATTGCACTATTGGGCATTTACCCCAAAGATACAAAAGTAGGGATCCAAAGGGGTACGTGCACCCCGATGTTTATAGCAGCAATGTCCACAATAGCCAAACTGTGGAAAGAGCCAAGATGTCCATCGACAAATGAATGGATAAAGAAGAGGTGGTATATATATACAATGGAATATTATGCAACCATCAAAAGGAATGAGATCTTGCCATTTGCAACGAAGTGGATGGAACTGGAGAGTATTATGTTGAGTGAAATAAGTCAAAAAGAGAAAGACATGTATCATATGATCTCACTGATATGAGGAATTCTTAATTGTAGGAAACAAACTGAGGGGTGCTGGAGTGGGGGGTAGGGTGGGAGGGATGGGGTGACTGGGTGATAGACACTGGGGAGGGTATGTGCTCTGGTAAGCGCTGTGAATTGTGCAAGACTGTTGAATCTCAGATCTGTACCTCTGAAACAAATAATACATTATATGTTAAAAAAAAAGAAGAAGAAAAAGAAGATAGCAGGAGGGGAAGAATGAAGGGGGGAAATCGGAGGGGGAGACAAACCATGAGAGACAATGGACTCTGAAAAACAAACTGAGGGTTCTAGAGAGGAGGGGGGTGGGAGGATGGGTTAGCCTGGTGGTGGGTATTGAGGAGGGCACATTCTGCATGGAGCACTGGGTGTTGTGCACAAACAATGAATCATGGAACACTACATCTAAAACTAATGATGTAATGTATGGGGACTAACATAACAATAAAAAAAATTATTTGAAACATCCCAGTTCATTTTTGCATGCCAACTGAATGCCTGCATGTGCATAATTCATTCAACTGAGCCCTCCTTTAGTTGCTACTGATAGATTGTCCATGCAATGCCTAGGGCCTAGTGATTTGGCTTCAGTGAGCAGGAAGATAGGGCACAATATAAAATGAGTAGCTTTGGGCAGGTCGCCAACACTGCATTCCTCAGTCTCTTCATGTACAAAGCAGAGATAAATCGATCTGCCCTATTTTACCCAAAATTTATGAAAGAATCAAGATAATCGATTCTTGGTACTGTATCTGCAAATGTCTTGTTAAACTGAGTAACACACATGTCATTTTATGGAGATCATTTTAATTTTCATTGTTACTCTTTGCATTCAGAATTTTAATGAGTAACTTTCTAAGTTATCTGTCACAGGGATTTGGGGCTGACACAATAAAATACTATAGACTGGGCAGCTTAAACAACTAGAAATTTATTTCTCACATTTAGTTCTGGATGTTGGAAGTCCACAATCCAGGTACCGGAGGGTGGGTATCATTCTGAGGCTGCCGTTTTGCTGTGAGCTCCCATGACCGCCTCCTTGTTCAGGGAGACAGAGCTCTCTGGGAAGGGTACTCATCCCACCACAAAGGCCCCAACGGCATGACCCAGCTCCAAATACCATCACACTGGGGGGTTAGAGTTTCAACTTATGAACCTGGGGGGACACTAATATTCAGTCCATATATACTTGTCTACTAAAGAACAGACTTCCCTTCTAGTTATTCATTGGAAAGAGAAAACTTTTTTTTTTTACTAGTAAGAGGATAAAAAATCTCTGTCGTCCCAGTTGACCCACCATCTCCAAAAGAACAATTCTATTAAAGCCAAAACTCAAAAGCTCAGTTTTAATTTTCCATAGTTCCTTACCAAACTCAGCTTCAACCCATGTGACTCTATGATGGTGTTCATTCCTTTTTTAATTAGTTTTTGACTCTCTTAGGGCAACGAAGATATTGGCATTAACACTTTTCAAATGCCATTTATTATCATTCCAAAAATACACTATTTGCAGAGCTACCTGATGACAAGGCCAGAATAGCACATCATTAATGGCTTAAGTAAAAGAAAATGTATCAATTAAAGCATAGGTCTTTTATAAAAAGATAATAATTAACCAAAAGCCCACATGTTGGCAGATACCATTATTTCACAGCCGATTTAATTTGGTGGCAACACAACTGATTTTGGAAGCAAAACTAATTGGTGCTTCAGACGGGCATGGCACTGGAAATAGGGTTTTCTTATGTTGGAGGCTGAGATGCACTGTTGACTAAAAACATTCATTTCTATAACCAGCAACCCTGAAGTCATTCTTCACAGAGAGGATCAGAGAACATTCGTCTCCATGGCAGCCCAGCCTAAGCATCTGTTCCTGCTTTTAGATGCTGGATACTGCTCAGCTGAGAGGCCGCTGAGGCGTAGCTCTGTCACCAAGACATAAGTGATTGACTTAATACCCCCGCTTGGAAGCTGGACATCTAAAATGTAGCAGTATAGACTAATTAAGCAGACCCATTGTTCTCCCAAAACAGTAAATGAGACCAAAGTAAAAGAAATAACCCATTTAGCCCAGCTTGCAGGTGCCAACCCCACAAGGCACTGTGCTGGGTGCAGGGAACCCAACGTGATGTCGAAGAGACCGGTCCCCAGGTGCCATGCATGCAAGATGGAAAGTGCCAGGTGATGCGGGACAGGGCCAGTGAAGGCTTCGTGAGGGAAGGACGTGACCTGGCCTTTGAAGAATAGATAGAGTCTTCCCAAGGAGGGAAAATGTGGGAGATGTACGTAGCTATGTAAAGAGCTCTGTTTAACGAAGTGCACAATAGTTAAAGGGAAGTAGAGAAAACATAAGTTCAAAAGGTGGCTAAAGCCCCTGAGAACAACTTTGGAGTCAGGTTATATTTATATTTAAAAAGGATTGGAAGTCAGTGATGTTTTGAGAAGGGAATGACGTGATCATAGCTGTACTGTGTATATTTTATCAGATAAACTAGAGAGAACTGAGCAGTGGGAAGATATTGATGCCATTTGGGGGACAGTCCAGGCAAAGGGTGATAAGGACCCAAATAGTAGTAGCTTCTGAGGGAGTGCTGAGGAAGCAAGCTTGTGGGCAACCCCACAGAGCTCGATTTGACAGTACCCGGGGTCCCCCACACGGGGCTTCCAGAGGAAAGGGGCCCCAGACCCACAGTGCGAACGTGGGCCAGATCAGTCCGAGGAACACAAAAGGTCTGGAAGTCAGATGAGCAGGCACGTAAGGACATAACGAAGTCTGGCCATCTCTTGACGATAGCTCGGCTTTGGAGACACGGTTCTCCTGAAGGGGAGGCTGCATGCTGTGCAGGAGGAGCCCTGGAGCCACGTGTCCACGCTGGGCGGGGGTCCAGCCCCTCTTGCACTTCTGAGGCAGGGCTCGATGACATCTGTTTAGCCCTTTCGGGGCTGGCATGGCAATCGAGAAAGAAACACCTATTAGAAGGCATTTAGCACAGGCTTTGGAACAAGAGGTTAGAAGACAGGTGCACATGTGTGCCGGCTGGTCAGTGCAAGTGTTGGAGTGGAGGCTTCAGCTGCTAAGCCCTGGGGCACACACGAATGGTGTGCCAGGTGCTATGCCCATGCTGTCCAGGAGTGAGCAGGAGAGAGACCATGGCTCCCCGCTGGCCTCACAGCATGATGTGAAAGGAACGGAGATCGACATGTGGAATGGGGTTAGACTGGAAACGGGGTTCTGGGAGCATTTAGAGGAACTGCATTCGCTTTGTGTGTCCCTGCAGAAGTGATGCTCCCAGGCACCTAGATGGCTCCTGACAGTAACTGTAAGATGCTCAATGTACCTTACATAAAGAGGAATAGTCCAGAAGGAATCTAGGAGCCTCTGCAATGGTGACTAACATTTCATCCATTTCTGCAGCATTAGCAGGACGTTTTCACCTGAGTTTCATCCCACACCCCCTTCCACACCCACCTCAGAAAGAGTGCCCCGGGATCGAAGGGGCCGGAATATCGAACTGTGCCCGGACCTCCTGATCGTCCTCTTTGGACAGAGCGACTGTCTTCTCCCATTTGGTCCTCCGTGCCTCATGGGAAGAATCAGCTGATTTCCCCTCCTGCTGAGGAAGATGCTGGTCTCAGGGAGGCCCGTCTTCCCACAGATGACAAACTGAGCCTCGTGTTTGTTGCACAACAGGGAGACGACTCTGCACCTTCCCCCGAGGCCCCAACGCAGCCCACCCCCTGCTGCACACATTCTAGCAAACACGAAACAGTAAGGCAAGTACTGCGGGAGAGGTAAAGGGCAGAGGTCATTCAGAAGTGGGTTCCACGAGTGTGCTAACCCCTCCGCTTTCTGTCCTATGATGGTTCCCAGCCTTGGGCAGAAGCTGCCACGTGCCTCAGGGGAGGGGCTGCGGCAGAGGCAGAGGAATGAGACACAAGATGTTTGAGGTCACGTTTGTGAGAAGATAAATATGTAAACCTACAAGCAGGTGTGCGTCCACACGCGTCCACACACAGAGATGCATATGCACACACACACACAACAAACATCCATGCGCGTATTTGTTGTTAAATCCCCTGAGTTTTTCTTAACTTACCAAACGGCCAGACCTGGAAAGGTTTCTGTAAAGCGATGGGCTCGGGATACAGTAAGGCAGCTCTACCCGCCCAGGAGAGGCCTCTGGAACCAGGAGCAAGGAAGCTGAAGGACAGGAGTTCACAGGGCATTCTCCTCCTTCCGACTCTGCAGGCTGGGCTCTGTGGGGGTCCCAGCGGCGCCCTTCGGTGAGCCCTGGGGACACAGACAGAGGCTCCTCGATGTCTGCAGGTAACCGGGGAGCCTGTGCTGCTGAGAAGAGGGCTGAGGAGATGGGAGAGCCAGGGAGGCGGGCCAGCAGAGCACCCTCACAGGCACCAGGCCAGACCGGCACTGCGCCCAGAGAGAGGAGGGGATGCCCGAAGATTGCCTGTGCCCCCCAAGAAGCTGAGTCAGCCTGAAGCTCAAACACCCTGACTCCTTCTGGTGCTCAGTTTGGGCGTCTGTCCCCCACCTGTGTAGGCTGGTGCATAAAAGCAAAGTGAAATGCACTTGTAAGGCAGACAAGAGAAATTAGAGAAACCCCGTTCTTCCTCTAGACCAAAGCTTAAAACCTATGTGACAATATGGAGGTAAGCTTATAATTGAGCTGTAAGTATGAAAATATATATCAGACGACCTGCACACTGTAAGTGTGACCAGACGACATGTAATGTAGAGAACAGTCCAGAGAATTTACACCAAAGTATTGGTAGCGGCCACACTGATGACGATTGGGTTGCTCAAGGTGATTTTTGTCTTCTCTATCTTACGTATTGTTTGTAATATGGTCACATTACTATTGTAAAAAGAAGGTACATTTATAGTAATAAAATTGCTTTGAGCTTGCATTTTTCTCTTGGAGATCAGTTTCATATACTTAAGGTTTGCTTTCCTTCCAGAAACTTCTTGCTATTCAAACTAGCTATCACCAATTTTCTCCACTTTATTCAGAGACATTCCCAGAGTGAGAAATTCAGAAATTCCATTTATCATTTTGGTATGCCTGAGTAAACCCTATTTGGTATTATGAAATAAGTGTGTTTTTATTCAGTTGTTGGTGATGATTCATCTAGAATTTTGTCCTTTTTTATATTTTGCATTCTCCCCAAACATCTGAGGAACATGTAAGCAGCTCCTTCAAGGTCATATAGGTGATGTACAAAAGCTAACACTGAACTAAATCTTCTGGTTATAAATTCAAATATTAAATACAGGGATCCCCCATGAGGGCCAATTCCACTCCGGATTCTGCATTTTATAAATAAGGAACCAAAGGTCAGGTAAAGTGATCATTACTGTCCTAGCATCGTTCCTATTCCTGCTTTAAACATCACCTTTGGAGAAGACGCGGCAGGATGCGTGTCTGGATGCAGGGCTGCAGTGAGGCGCAGGCAAGAGCCAAAGCCGAGGGCCGTGGAACAAGGCTCTCTGGGCAGAGAGGTCACCAGGGACCTCTGCACAAACAGGAGGCACCGTAACGACCACATTAAATCCAGACATGGAGCGTCACAGAGAGTGGAATCGAAACGGAGCCCCTGCGCCCAGGGTGCCCTGCTCCCTTGGGGGGAGGTTGGTCAGTGAGGGGGAAGGCACCTGCTCCCCCTCCAGGTGCAGCCAGCACCCTGTCTCTGGGCTTTAACCGGTGGAGGGCACCGCACGTGGCATGGTGGCCCCCGTGGTCAGTAGCAGAGTGATAGCTCCACGCAGATCTGCCCACCACAGCTGGCTTGTTGCTGAGGCTCACTGTGGACAAAGTCACCATATGAAGAAATGGGGGGCCCCTTGGGCCACGTATTAGAGGTGGGAGGAAATGGGGGGTAGCTTGGAGACTCAGAGGACACGGACAAGATCCGTGGAGTCTATGGAAGTGCTGGTCACTGGGACTCTCTTTCTCAACCTTTGTCCTCCTAGGGTAAAGGTGTCTTCAAAGATCTTAACGCAGGAAGGAAACAAAATTCACTCGCAGGCGCCTGCAGCTGAATCCTGACAAGCGCTATGTCCATCCTGGATCAGGGGAGGCTGCACTTTTCTCTGAGGACGGAACACACGCTGACCCTCCCCCCGGCCCTCCAGGACACTGGCTCTTTGGACCAGGAGTGCATAAGTGGTTCTCCTTTCTCCCCACCCTCCCTCTTATCTTTGCTTCTCCTTTCTCTCCTGCTCTCAAGCCTTGTCTCCTCTTCCACGTTCTCACCATGTAAATGGTGTCTCGAGGGACTGGGGCTTCAGGGATGTTGCCCAAAGCAGTCCTTATCCGTGGAGGAGATGGATGGCTTTGCTTGTGCATTTCTATTAGCCAGAGGGAAGGGAAAAGTTGTAGGATGTGCACTTCCTGGAGTTGCTATTAGATGCTGTAATTACCTTTCATTCAGAAAGAGCACTTTGCAGCATCTGATGTCCAGTAACCAAGGTCCTAGGGACCAGTCAGTTCCCCTCTGCAGCAAGGATCCAGCGCTGCTCACCACGCTCTGCTACACCCTGATTCTGTTCTTTCGGCTGGAGCGGATAAGAAAGCCTCACCCCAGCTGAGCCCCCAACCATGGCCATATGGCTTGTAAATTATTATACAACTTTCTAAATATTATTGGCCACATTATCTCTAAGGATAAATTCTCATTCCATCTCTGCACTGAGTTCTTCTTTTACATTTGTTTCCAGAGAGATGAAGACAACATGACAGAAAAGTCGGACTTCTGGGATTTATAGACAAAGAAATAGTATTTTTATCAAGTTCCCAATTGTAATAATAAACCACACAGGGAGGGAAAACTGAATGGGAAGAAATCAGAGATGGAGACGAACCAGGAGATACTCTGGACTCCAGGAACCAAACTGAGGGTTACAGAAGGGAGGGGGGTGGGGGGATGGGGTAACTGGGGGATGGGCATTAAGGAGGGGACGTACTGCATGGGGCACTGGGTGTCATATGCAACTGATGAATCGTTGAACACTACATCTCAAACTAATGATGTACTATGTGTTGGCTAATTGAATTTAAATTAAGAAAATAATAATAAAATAGATACATAAACCACACGCTTCCAGAGTGACTCCTCAAAGGGATTCCATGAAGAAATTCTGGCCAGTCGCAGAACCTCGACTGAAGGGCTCCCTCCCTCCTGTGGACAGCCTTCTCTCGCCAGCCTTAAGCTACGCTGAATTACACAGAAAGCTAAGGGCCCTAAGGAGGGACAGGCTGCACTGTTGACTGAACGTCTGCGCTTAAAACCCCGAACCACCCATCTTGTGGTTGCAGGGTGAAAAAGGCCAGGCCCTCCTGAAGGAGAGCCAGAGCCGGTTACGGGGTGCTTGATGTGCAAAAGGGCTATTCTTTGTTTTGTTGGGTTTTTAAAGATTTTATTTATTTACTTGAGAGAAAAAGAAAGAGAGAGAACGAGCAGAGGGCAGAGGGAGAGGGAGAGGGAGATCGACATGGGGCTCGATCCCAGGACCCCGAGGTCATGACCTGAGCCGAAGGCAGACGTTCAACCAACTGAAAGGGCTGTTCTTACTCAACAAGCGCCGTGTGCAGAGTGGGGCATAAAGCCCAGGGTCTGGTGGGGTAGATGGGGTCATGGCTCTAAAGCTGTGAGTGGAGAGAAAAGTGTCTTGTCACCGTGTTCATGCTCACATTTGTGCTGGGACTCCGACCCTGACATCTGGACGGCCCATCTCACACCCTGACAGTGACCGCCTCTTTCACCAACAACGTATCTTACAGTAATTATGCTTCATTATTTTTTCAGCCTATATTTTCTAGCCTTTCAGTTAGAGTGATGCCTATCCATCATTTCAGGGAAAACAAAGGCAAACCGGGGATTTCTCTCTGGCTTTACCTGATAGTTATACCACTTAATTTGATTAACTTATTAAGATTAATTCATTAATCTCCTAAAATTTAACTACCACGATCTTTTGTGTGACATTCTGATTCCTTCTTTCAAAGCCCACTTTCAGCTGCTCCAGGCCCTCAAACAGCCTGAGCCAAAGGTACATCTACAGTCACGGCTTATATGTCCTTATTTCCACTTAAATCACAAATCCAAATATCACGCTCTATTATCATCCGCTGTGAGAACAATTCTGTCCAAATTCTGCACCTTCGAAGCCTCCTATTTCCTTGCATGAAGTGGAGAATAAGAAGAAAGAGAAGGTCAGCAACACGGAGTCAGTGACTCTGTGAAGTCTGCACAGAGAAAGCGCTGTCCCACCTCACCCCCCTGGGACCCCGGGATCGTCTGCATCGCTGCCCTCATCCCGCAATCCTCCATCCTGCGTCTGTTTCTGCCTGCCTAGACTCTGTGGTGGCCTCGTGTCAAGGCTCCCTGCCCTCCTGGACGGGGCTGCCAGCCCAGGTACCTGTCAGGCCAAGTCTGGAAAAAGCCCTCTTTGGATGTTTACGCAGAAAGCGTGAAAACCTTGCTTCTGATAATTTTGTAACTTTCTATTCACTTTTTCAAGGACAGAAACACTCCATATTAAGTGGAAATTTGCACACGGCCCCTCACTAGGTGTGGCACAAAAACCCATTTCCTGATTTTCCTTCTCAGTTCAGGCTGGGGGAGAGGTTTTTATAACAGCACCAACACCGTGACTTTTCCCCGTAAGAGAGAGCCCTTAAAAGGCTTTCGCAAGAATCAAGGGCGTGTGTGCGTTCGAGTATTGTCAGTTCAGTCCCACGCAGGAGCCTTGCAACCAATGTTTGTCGAATGCGGAAGAGTGGCTTAAGCTACGCTGAATTACACAGAAAGACATTGTCAGGGAGAAAGGAAAAAAAGCTAAGGGTACAAAAGCAGAGCCAAGATAAAAGCTGTTCTCTCTCTTCTCACAGAGAATAATGCACCAAGGAAAACACTGCTAATAATTGGTAATAGCTCTCAGCACATTTCCAGGGCTGTGTGGTATAGCCCAGTGCGTGGTGACCGCCAGGGGACGTGCGGGGCAGAGGGCCTCCCCCTGGGCCTGGAGAGGTGAGCCAGCCTGTCCGGTCGGGACACCTGGGTCAGTTCCCCACGTCATGGCTTAACAGAGCAAACGTCGCAGGTCAGTCCTACCTTCCGGCCATGCTCACTGCCACACTAACAGACAGCTTCTCTTTTGTCTGCTGCACATCTGACTTGGGGTTTTCTTAGCTGTTTCCTCAACACGTTTTTCTGTTGCAGGATAACGGGTGGAGTCTCTCCTCCATCTCGGTACACTGCGGATGGGTACCCCCTGCGTCTGTCTGCCACACCGCGGCTCCGGATCCTCACCCTGGAAACACGAGTCCCTGAGACACAGCGTAGGCAGCACACAGGGTTCGGCGCGGAGCAGACACTGGGGTCAGACCCTTATGACGTCACTTCCTACCCTGGGCCACAGTCAGTTTACATGGTTTCCCCAAGGTTTGGCTTTCTTGTCTGCAGCATGAGGGGACAGCAGTGCCTCACGCACAGGACAGGGCGTCTCCCGTCCCTGCACGCTTACCTTCTGCTCCAAGGAAAGTCTCCTGGCTTTGAGAGTCTCGGGGGCACAGGATAGGTAAAATGGGTGCAATGTCTTACCAACACCAGGACGGAGCTGCTTCTAGAAGCTTCCAGTGACAGAACTGTCCTTGGAGTTACTCTACCCATGGCTATGGCTGAGCTGAGGGCCACGGAGATGCTGGAGACACGAAGTTCTACTCATGATCTCGGATTATTTTGTCTTAAACTACATATTTACATTTTACTACTTACAGAAAACTGTTCAAAACTGATATCAAAACAGTCTTCATGACTAAGATACACATGTGCGTAACTGCGTCTGTCGCTGGGGTCCCCCTGGAGTGTGTGTGTTCACGTGGGGAGCGTTCCCTCAGAACCCCAGAAGCACGGCCTCTCTACGCAGTCATAATACTAAAGGGCAGCCTCAGTCCTGCTGGTTTTCCCACTTCGTGGAATTCTGGACGTTTTCCCCAGAGGCTCTCCACTTATTTGGCAAGATTTTGCTGTTTGCTTTTTATTAATCATGTGTGTTTAGATCTCTGTAACTCTCCGCATCGGCTGTTGCTTCTGTGGTCTGGAGAAGGGGGGCTTTGCCCAGCCACACTCGCTCCACGTGGCACAGAGATAGCTGTGGGACCGACGTGCGTCCACAGCTGACTCTGGGTTAACTCACCCAGCTTCGTGCCCATGTCTGCTGAAGGAAAAGTGACAAAGGATCTGCCCTCCCCATCAGGACGTTTCCAGGATGGGGCGGCGTGCACGGAGGGAGGCCCCCGGGATTTGTTTTCATGGCTCCCCTCCTCACCGCAGAAGCACAGAGCTCCCAGACTTGGTGAAGAACAGCACTGCACCCCGGCTGTGAGCACTCCACGGATGGAGATACCAGTGGGCAGTTCACACCCAGGAGAGACTGAGTCCCCACACGTGCAGGGACTCCTCTGTCTCCAGGAAGCTGTGTTTGAACACTCTATTTCTGGATTTGTTGTAGAACCTACCTGTACAAAATCCACTTTATAAAATGGCCAAATTATCCTCAATTAAGTTCTGGTAAGAATCTTCCTGTTTAGAGAGATTCAGAAAATTTACATTTGTGTTTCAACAATGATAACTGCCAAGAAAACAAAGCATTTCCTCCATGAAAGCAGGAGAGAGAGTGGGACCAGGGCTGACATTTCTCTGAGTCTTTCTGTTCTTTATATTTTTAGTGTATATTAAAAAGTATAATATTCAAAAGAAAGCCAAATAACAACAGGTAAATCCATATATACATCAGGAAAACACCACTTATAAGAGAACCTACGTCTGATAATGTATCCAGTGTTTTGAGGGGAAAGATCATTTTTAAGAACTAAGTGACGGGGGTGGCGTGATGGGTGAAGTTCACAATTACCGCCATGTCTCCAGCAGAATTGTGTACATTTGGGTTTTGTTTTGGTTTTTCTTTTTTTTTTTATTGTAGTAAAATACACATAACATAAATCTTACCATGTTAAACATTTCTGAGTGTGTAGCTAGTGGTACTGAATCCATGCACGCGGTCAGCTGTCTATCCCCATAACGCTGTTCAGCGCCTGAACTTAAACCTCTGTCCCCATGAAACACTCACCTCCTCCCCCGTCCGGGCACCTCCGTCCCACCTTCTGTCTTTATGATTTTGCTGCTCTTCATGCCTCGTGTAAGTGGAATCAGACAGCATTTACATAATCGGTTCTTAAGAGAGGAAAAAAAGAAGCATTCATTACACAAGTTCTTCATTTGATCAGAGCCAAAAACAGACTTATTGTCATGATGACAATGAAATTTTTAAAATCTGATTTTGTACCACTATACAAGTATATCTCAAAAAGGCTTTTAAAATTATAATAATAACTGTGAATTGTGCAAGACTGTTGAATCTCAGATCTGTACCTCTGAAACAAATAATGCAATATATGTTAAGAAAAAAAAGAAGAAGATAGCAGGAGGGGAAGAATGAAGGGGGGGAATTCGGAGGGGTAGACGAACCATGAGAGACAATGGACTCTGAAAAACAAACAGGGTTCTGGAGGGGAGGGGGGTGGGAGGATGGGTTGGCCTGGTGGTGGGTATTGAGGAGGGCACGTTCTGCATGGAGCACTGGGTGTTATGCACAAACAATGAATCATGGAACACTACATCTAAAACGAATTATGTAATGTATGGGGATTAACATAACAATAAAAAATTTTTTAAAAATTATAATAATAATTTTTAAAACCAAGTTTTCACTTTATTTTTAGTTGTCTAAAGTTAGCCTGAGCCCTCTGGCTGATTTTCATAAGCTTGAAAGGAAGCCAGTCTCCTTAGAAAAAGATTTTTTTTTCTTGGGGAGTTTATGGCTCAGGGGATCAGTAACAGGAGATGGAGACATTTTCTGTGCTGTGCTGAAGCCCTGAACATACTGTCATTTGGAACTTAAGAGAAACGTGTGGTGAACCGAACGCTGGGAGCTGGCTGCATGTGGTCTGAGCAGCGACACTCAGCTCTGTGGCTGTTAATAATCAGCCCTAAATTAAGGTTTGTCAGAGATTGAAGGAAGGAACCCCTGAATACACGAATGCCAGAAATCTGAATGTCGTTTGTCCTCTAAGAAGAGGTCAGCTGCTCAGCGTGTAGGTGAGAGGCTGGGGTGCCAGACAAGGGATCCCTCGGCTGCAGACACCACAGCTCCAGGGGGTTCATCGGGTGCCCCCCATGGTGGTTTGGCATAGGAAAGGGGCCATGGAGGACTTTTCTTCTGTAGCCTGCACTAAAACTCCAAGCACATCCTGAATTTCCACTGTCCTCAGTCACTTATGAAACAAAAATGTGTTTTACTTTGAATAATATCACAGGGGGTGAGGGAATTTTAAAAAGGGAAAATAAAACAAAATTTCAGACTTCCAAGATTTTAGAACATAGAATAAATTGGAGAGATTCCATAGATATACCTAAATATAGTTTGGCCTAATAAAATTTGCTTGGTCTAAGAAGACTGTGAAAGCCTTCTCACTTAATGAAATCTCAGCCAAACAGCACGAATAAATCTAACCTCATCTTTCAAAACTGTATTTTTGGACAACAGAACATCATAATATTGGATAGAATCCACAGTAAACTGATTCTGCTTAAAGCTTTAGTGAGTGTGTGGTCCTTCACCATGTGGAAAACACACAATTTGGTTTGTTAGGGTTTTATAATTAAATCAAGTCTCTAAGCATATTGAGCAGAATAGATATCTGTGCAAAAAACCATTAATTAATGCTCAGGGAGCATAAATGTCTGGTAGGCTGTTATCCTCAAAGATCTCGGAATTGGCTTATATCAGGAGTCCAGCATAAACATGGTGACTTCCATCTTTCTGCAGCAACTCTTTGTCTTCCAGAGTGACTGCTCTTGTAAGCTGCCTTGGGATGCCCGCGCGCGAGGAGTGCACGGAGGGAGCCAGCACTGCAGGGAACCAGCTGAGGGTGGGCATTGTTGACCACCTAAGGCAAGAACAGCAACATTTTAGAAGAAAAACATTTCTGTTCTCTTTGCTCCGAAGCTTATAATTGGAGCGTGCAGCTCCACCAGAACCCATATCCCTGAGGAGAAACTCTCCTTCTCAAAAGGCAGCTCTGCTACAGGAAGCAGTAATTTCCAGGGAGTGATTTGTCTGCAGCGACACTTGAGAGAAAGGGATATTCCAAGGGACTCGGAATCCTGGGCTGCTCAGGCTTGTGGTTCTGAACAGCCTGCAAGACAGGGTCGGGCATTTAAAGGAGGGCATTTCCCAGAGGAAGGGAAAGGCTGCTTTCAGGTCAGCCAGCTTGAGGACAACATCCCCAAAGCTGGAGAGGGTGTGGACAGCCAGAGAAAGGGTGATCGAGAAGGCCCAAGTACTTAAAGGGCAGCGGAAGTTAAGGTCAGTTGGAGGTCATGTGGACGGACAGGAGGTTTTGCTTGTACACTGTGTAAGTGATATTAGACATGGACTCAACCAGGTTCTGATGGGATCGGGCTTCACCTCATTAGTTTTCACGGGCTAAACGTTTTCAATTCACATATTTCTTCACAGTCCTTGAAGGTGATTTGTCTCTGTCCTGCTTTTACTTGTTGAGGCCCTAAGGCATGTCTTCCAGCCAACGGGGGATTTCCAACCTCACATCCACCTCCTGTCACCATTCCAGAGATTATAGAAAAGTGACAGGCCAGAAGTTCTGAATGACGTATCTTGTTTTGTTCAATAGTTTTGCGTGTCATCCTTGCCCAGGGGCCATACTAATCTTCTCTATAGAGTTCCAATTTTAGTCAGTATGTGCCGAAGCAAGAACTTGTTTAATAATTTGGACTGGTCTGTATCTGGATCATTACCTATGCTTCACTACTAGATCTAACTGCTGCCACTCTGGGCACAGGTGAGGAGGTTCCCTCACAGAACATCCGCGCTGCGCCCACCCTCCGCCATGCTGGATGTGTTGCAACCTGATGCAGGGGGGCAGTGCCATCTAATAGCTCTGTGCAGCGTGGATGGCTGAAATGTCGATCGTAATACTGCCATAAAGTTCGTTTATGATTTGGGGCAGTCATTTAAATTCCTGGTCTTCTATGTAGTTGTAAAGAAGGGGGACTATTTGTCACTTGTTTGTCAGAAACGCAAATACGAACATCAGTTGAGCCACATACTTATTGTCTAGCTTAAAAAAAATAGTAGACTTACTCGTTGCTGTTATTCAATATAGGAATAAAAAAACACTAAGTAAGTGTTCCTAGGATACTTACCTGAGCACAGACTTCCCCAGAATGTCAGAAAACATTGAGTAACTTTGCAGACAGCATTTCCTGTCTTGCACAGGGATTTTTCAAAGGAGGTAGAGCAAGACTCCCAAAACACCAGCTAGGATGTCTCAAGTCCACCTTCACTCAGACTATTTACGCTGGGGCTCGTGACCTTTACCTTTTCTCAAGTGATCCCCAACTTACCTTTCTACAGATTTCCCTACTGTGAGGGACTCCCCGCTCTCCAGAAGGGCGCCACCTCCCTCTGCCTTAATCCCATCAACAACCAACCGGTTTTCTACCTAAATATCTCTTGACATCATTCCCTTTTCTACTCCTGCACCTCCATGCCACCATCATCTCATGCCTGTATTTCCTCAGTAGCCTCCAAAGAGAGATCCCCACATCCATTTCGTCTTCCCTCCCAACCCTATCTCCACGCTTCAGCCAGAATGATTTTTCAAACATACACACGAATGTGTTATCCTCCATTAGTGGCCTCCTCATTTCTTTAATGAAGGCCAACATCCTAAGTGTGGGTTACTTGGATTTGCTGGGGAATCGGGCATGGTGGCGCTCACCTGATGCAGCGTCAGCTGGCTTCATTCCTGTCAGCCTGTGGCAACAGCATCAGTGACAAAGAGGCATTCTACTTGGTGCCACTTGCCTGTCACGGGCCAGCTAAAGCTCTGCCGTCTTTGCTCTGATGCACATGGGCTGTTGCCACGTTGATGGGATGAGAACAGGGAAGGTGGTGGACCACGAGCTGACTCTTTACGATTCTGCTCAGAATTGATACAGGCCAAGTCTGACACCCACAGAGCAGGAGATACAACTTCCCGCAGGGACAGGCACAGAGAGGGGGTGGACGAATTGGTGGCATGATGATACAATCTGCCAGCAACCAAGCTGCTTGGTTGATACAATCTTCCAACCACGCTGCTTCAGTCAAAAGCAGAGATGAAGGCTCAATGCATGAAAGAACGGTTTGAAATCCAGACTGATTCTTAGCAGGGCAGTCTTTGCTTGACGATGAAATGGGGACCCATGGTGGGCACTACCATGCACTTCCTGCCCAGCGTCTGCGTCAAGAGCCTTAGGCTACAGTTACACCCCAGCACCTGGTCATGGTCTGTACGAAGATAGAAAGCCCAAGGGTGACAGCAGAAAGTACCCAGAACATGTTGAATCTACCAGGCAGTTCCCTGCAGGGTTGGGGTGACCTCTGGCACACCTGGCTGCCTCTGTCTGTGATTAGCTCTTTGCACTTGTAGGTAACAGGACAGCACTGACTCATCTTTATCAACCACTGAATCCAACATTGACAGGGTAAGCACAAGAGTGCGTGCGGAAAGCACTAAAAACAACTATGTCAGCACATAAGTGTGCTTTATTTGGGGGAAATCTCAAATACATTTTTAATAATGTAATGTCTGCTTATTTTTATGTTAATATATAAGCATGGCCTACAGAAAAAGTCAAATGTAGGGCCCCTGGGCGCCTGGGTGGCTCAGTTGGTTAAGCGACTGCCTTCGGCTCAGGTCATGATCCTGGAGTCCCGGGATCAAGTCCCGCGTCGGGGTCCCTGCTCAGGGGGGAGTCTGCTTCTCCCTCTGACCCTCCCCCCTCTCATGTGCTCTCTCTCAAATAAATAAATAAAATCTTAAAAAAAAAAAAATGTAGGGCTCCTACAGAAAAACAGCACTCTCTGAACCATGGCTGCCTGTCCTGGTGAACCACTTTTCAGAAGTAACCACTTTCAACATTTTAGCTCTTTCTTGTAATATTTATCTTGATATTTTTAAGTAAGATATTTTAATGCTTCTTGCAGTATTGTTATGAGTCCTGGTGTGGTGATTCGTTCCGTTCCATTCTTTACCTGAAAACCCAGTGGATGCTCACTGGAAATTCCTGTCCTTCAATTTGTCTTATATCAGCCCTTTCATGCATAATTTCTGTTTGCTATTTTTGAACTTCTATTAGTCGAATGTTGCAGCTTCCGAAATCCACCTCTTACAGTTCCAGAGGCTCCAAGTCTGAGCCCGGGGTGCTGGCAGGTCCCGCGCGCTGTCTGGTTTGCAGACAGAGGTCTTTTCTCCGTGTCTTTGTGCGGCAGAGAGCCAGAAGCAGTGCCCACATCCACCCTATTGTCCAGACACCGATGCACCACGAGGACCACCACGCCACGGCGGCCCAAGCGCTGGCATTAGGATTCCAATGTGAATTTTGAAGGTACACAAACATTTAGTCAATGCAAGAATCTCAACGTCATGCTTGTTTTTACTAATTTTCTAAGTCCCTGTTCTTTTCTCTACTTTCTGGAAAATTTCTTCAATTTTCACTGCAACGCTTCTATATTACTCATTTCTGCTATCTTCTTTGTTTCAAGTTTCAGAGGTCTTCTCTGAGTAACTCCCTTTTGAATACAATGAATTCTCTTATCTCTCTGAGGATAATAATTACAGTTTTATTTTGTTTGTTTTGAAGTTTCTTCTGACCTGAGGGTTCTGGAAAAATGCCAACAACATTGGCAGAGTCTTTGAGTCTCTCCAAATCCAACAGAAGAACAGACAGCTGACCCGACAGCAACACCGAGATCTGCAGACAGTATTTCCAACAAAAGCAAGCAAGGAGTTGTTGTGCAAGCCTCAAAGGCAAGCAGGGGTCAGAGCCACCAGCAGCCAGAGATCGAGCGCCCCGCGTCTGGTGAGCATAGCTTTCCTTTTGCCTTTCACGGCTCTGTCTTCTCCACGTTTATTATCTTTCTTTCTCTGTGTGTATTTTTTTCAATCTTTCATTTCATCTTTATCTTTTGGGTGTCCCATTTCCTTTGGGAAACTGCTGTTATTTAGAAATAAAGCTGCTTGAAAACTCTAAGTGTAGCTTGTGAAACGATGGTGTAAAACGGAGAGTGACAAGGAGCCAGATCATTAGGTAAACTATACCAAATATCTCAAGGTTTTTCCTTGTTTGAAGAGTGATTCTCGAACTTCTTGCTCAGATGTTAAAAGCCTGACAACAAGCATCCTTGGGAGGAAATGAGGAGAGGTCCTTGTTTCCTCCATGGCATCCCTGCCCTTGTGTGTCCTGGGGGTTCCAAGCCCAGAAGCTGTTTAGCTTCCCCAGAGAGTGGCCTTGGGCTCCTGTGCGGAGGGCCGAAGGTCGTTTCCACCCTGGCCCCGTGGGGTTGGGGCCCTTCGAGCTCTGACGATCATCTGCCTAGGACACAAGCTCTCGGCAAGTCTGTCCTCCCCACTTCACAGGTACTCAGTGCCTCGACTGCTGAGCCCTCCAAGACCCTGGTGCCCTGTCTGCTTCTTCTCTTCCCAGTCTGTGGTCACTCGTCTCTAAACCTCCTCAGATACCACTGTCCGCACAAACTGAAACTTTTGTTAACACTCTCTTATCTGTTGTCACCTCTGATGTTTTCTGCCTTAGGTTTATGCGCTTTTATCAAATCTGGTTTTCTTGGGTTCAGAAGCATCAGAGGCTAAACCACGTGCCATGTGCCCTGTCTTTCATATGAGACATGTCTCTCCCTCAAGTTTGTTTTAGGCACATGCGTTTGTTCCTCTTACATAAGTATGGCGTTTATTTCCTTTGTCAACATTCTAAAAAGAGGCAATCTCGAAACCCAGAGTAACTGAAGCACGACTCAGTGCGGTTCACAGTACGAGAGGGGCTCTCCTGGGCCTTGACCTTTCCTCCTCTCCTCAGCATGCTCATGCCCATGCCCACGTCTCCCGTCTTCTACTTCAGTGGTGGCCGTGAGCCTCTGGGGTTAATTCTAGAAATGCACCTGTTTCATTTAGTTGATCGTGCCCCTGATGCACCAGGAACATAAGAATAATGAGCAAAGGTAAGAAGAGGAGGGGTGGGGGAGTCTTGGGCTTTGCAGATGTCCCTGCAATCTGCATTAGTCACTATGGGAAATGAGTAATAAAGCAAATAAGCTATTGGTCAAAAATAATCAAACTTAATGCCATGTGTACACACATGCATGCCATCTAACTGGCTTGATGTAAAAGTTGTCTATGCCCTGGTAACCGGTAGGTCGACGATTGTGAGGAGATGGTAAATTCCACACTGACTCTGAAAAGTACTCTCCACATTGCTCCAGATCTCCAAGACACTCTGTTACAAAGCAGCATCCCAGGTTCTACTTCTTAAGGATGTGCAATGAAAGCAAAAATCTCACCAACTACTTCTTCAACAAGACATACCTGTGGACCCGACTCCACTCGCAGACCACCTCCGGCCCCTTTCTCTCCTGGTCACCCACCTCTGCCTCTGTTACCCAAACTGCTCAGGGAAGAGACCCAGCATGAAGAAGTCCAGCAAAGGGGCACCTGGGTGGCTCAGTTGGTTAAGCGGCTGCCTTCGGCTCAGGTCATGATCCTGGAGTCCCGGGATCGAGTCCCATGTTGGGCTCCCTGCTCAGCAGGGGGTCTGCTTCTCCCTCTGACCTTCCTCCCTCTCATGCTCTCTGTCTCTCGTTCTCTCTCTCAAATAAATAAATAAAATCTTAAAAAAAAAAAAAAGAAGTCAAGCAAATCATCTAATGTAATGAAGCTAGGAAGGGGTGAGGTCAGGATTTGAACCCACATCTATGCAATGCCAAAACCTGCATTCTTTCTACTGTGTAATGATGGCACATTATTCTGTATTTAATTTGTATTAATTTTTAAGAGAAGAGTCAAACCTGAACTCAGATAGTCAACCCCGCCGGTCACTCTCTGAAAACTAATAATTTTACTCCAAACAGTGGCAGAGGTCTGCAATCACGGGGAATGCTGACACCTTTGAGACCTAGGATGAAGCCCCCTCAAACAGTAGTCACCCAGTGATGCACCCCACAACCTGTGCTGAAGAAAATAGCCCGGGTGTATGTCCAATCACTGTTTTGAACAAAGTCAAAAAAGACATGTTTCACAGTGCTACAAAGCTGAGAATCTTAGGAATCATGTTTTAAAATGTAGTTTCTACGGTCATTGTTAAATTTGCACTCTGTATGTGTAATCAAAGTAGTCATTTGATGCGTGAAAACAATCATTTTCCCATCTATTCCGTCTTGATTTTGAAAAGCTGCCATTTATTTTCCTGGGTCACTGGGTCATGTATGTAGCTGGAATCACCCCATTTGGAGCCTGCACCCCACGCTCTGCACTGACCGAGTCTCACAGTTCACCAGCCAGAGCCTCTGGAAACCAGCCCAGCCCAGGACGCTAATGAGCCCAACAAGCATGTGGATGGGGCTTCCTCGAACCCGTACCTCTGGCGGCTCAGATTTCTCTCTAGGCCGAGCCTGGAGGCCGTCAGAGACGGAAAAGCTCTTCAGGACAGAAACATGGACAGGATTTAGTGACAGGGAGAGAAAATGCAGAGGAATTCCTGGCAGACGTAAATAAATAAATAACCCCGATGGCTGTGGCTGCCGCTTGCCAATCCCATAGCCATCCGCGTCTCCCTTGTTAAGAGCTGCCCGTATTGCTGGGAAGAGCGATCTCTCAGCTAAGAACCTGCTCTCCGGCCTCCCTCGCGTCCAGGACGGCTCCTTGGCTAGCCCCCGGTCAGGGAGACCTCAGACGGAAGGTCTGGGAGCGAAGGGCAGAACGGCTTCCTGAAAGACGACAGTCGCTAGTCAGGCCCACCTGCCGCCCCTCTTCTTCCTCCTGCCCGGCAGGGACGCGGTGGCCGCGGTGGGCCGCCGTCTGGCCACCTCGAGACGGCACCGCAGTACGAGGGCGCATCGGCGGAGCAGCACGCGGCGCGGCCCGAGACTGCGCGCTTCGGGCTCCGCTCCCGCGTCACGGCCGGCGCGGGTCCTGGCTGTCACGGGGAGCCCGGCCCGGGGGGTCCCGCCCGACGGCAGAGGGTGTTCCGCAGCAGCGCGTCCAAGCCAGCGGCGAGAACCAGTCAGCAGCAGGACGAGGGAAGCGCGAGTCCCGCGCGCGCCGCGCCGAAGACTCTCCGAGCACCGCGGCCAGGCGCGGCGGGCTGCGCACGCGGGCGAGCGGCGCGGGGCGCGCGGGGGGCGCGCGGGGGGCGCGCGGGGGGCGCGCGGGGGGCGGCCAGAGCAGGAGCCGCGCGGCTGTTCCCGCGGGGCCGAGGGGCACCGTCGGAGGGACGGTAGGCCACGCGGGCGTGAGCCGCTGGAACTTGCTGGTCGAAGTATGACCTTCGCCATATTCAACGCCGTGTTCTTGACATTACTTTAGCATTTTTGGTGATAAATAAAGTTCCTATTAGTTGTTTCTGTTTTCATATTTTGTATTGTCTGTTTTAGTTACTAAATATCTACTTTTCCAATCACTGTCGATTCTTATTTTTATTTTTGAAATTTATCTTTAAGATAACTTACTCTTTTGTATAGTTAATCATCTTATGAATTTCCTATTTCTGAAATGCTTCTTCTCTGTGACTCACCTTTGCCTTGTCACTTCTTTTTGTTTATTCTGTGTCTGACGTTCCGGCGTGGAACAGGAGTGGCCGTGCAGAGAGAGGGTCAGCGGTGGGGGCACCGCGAGCCTCTTCTGTCTGCCCACCCGGCCGCTCTTCCCACATCCCGGCAATCACGGCCAACCTGAAAGAAAAATAAAATCTCAGCATGGGAAATCGCATGCACATGCTTGCTGAACGCATCCGTTCTCTCCACCGATGCAAGCTCTCTGGACGGCTGGGTCTGAACTGGATGGCTCGCACCCTCCAATCCCAGCGGGCGAATACGAACGTACGGGCTCGTGCGGGATGCTGACCAGCTGCAGGATGCAGGATTGAAAGGCCACCAGCTCTGGGAGGTAGCTCTCACACACCAGGGCAGCTGCAGGTCCAGAACGACCAGATCTTCCTCCTCGCAAAGCAAGCTGGTGACAGAGCTTTTTGTGTAAACTTTACTGTTAGCTTACTTTTTAATGTTGTGAGGGCCAAGCAAAATTTGTCTGCAAGCCAGATTTACCCCCAAAGGCACTGCTGGGCTCCATGAGAAATTACAGCATTTGCTCTTGGAGTGTCTCTTCTGCCTTGTGGAGTCCTTGGACAGTGGCTGAGCCTGAGAAAGAGGCTCCACGCCCCGGGCGATGAGGTGACAGGAATGTTACGGATCCATTGGCTCACCTTTCCTCCTGTTAGGATTCACGAAGCCACCGCTCCCATTCTTCTGCAACCAACACTGATCAAGCAGGAAGAAATGGAAGGAGAAGGAAAGAGGTAAATAGAATAAATATTTGCACCTTTCTTCAGAGTAACGCACAGAAAGGTGACAGCCAAGAAAATGCATGCTTTTTTACTTGTGGGGGACCAGACATCAGGCTGTTAAAATATTCCCTCTTGTAAGCTGGACTAACCCACACGCAAGCCCCGAAACACTCATCTAGTTTCGCTTGTATCTCGTTCATAGGATTTGGTCTAAGTTGCCCGCTTCCTGTGTTTTTCCCTTGGATGAAAAGATGTGGGCAGAAGTCTACCAACTTGGATCCATGGAGACTGTAGAAGGCAGAGTGCATAAAGAATTCCAGAAAGGATGCGTGTGTCTGTCCACCTCCAGCTCTGCCCACCACCCTCTCCTCCTTCCCCGGGATCGCCTGGCATGCTGGACAAATACCATCTTTAGAGTCTACCTGGGCCTTGGTCCATAGCGGAAGGCCTGTGGGCAGGAGTAGAGAAGAGAAGGGGGAAAGGTACATCTGCTCTTCTCGTAGGGGCTGAGATGCCTGTGCGCACACCATCTGTGGGTCTGGGTTTGTAGACCCTTTGGTGAACAGTGTGGCTGAAGGGACCCAAATTCTGAGACTGCTTATTATATCTTCTTGGAATCTCACTTTTACTCAAAGATATTGGGGGCAAATTATTTTTTAGAACAAATACATCATTTATTTGTTAAAAAGGATTATAATAAATCTTAATGATGACTCTGAGTCTAATAACTATTTTTTTATTTAAATTTAATTAGGAAGATATAGTATATCCTTGGTTTCAATAATTCATCAGTTGCATATAACGCCCAGGGTTCTCACATCACGTGCCGTCCTTAATGCCCATCACCCAATTATCCCATCCCCCCCACCCATCTCACCTCCAGCAACCCTCAGTTTGTTTCCTATAGTTAAGAGTCTCTCTCATGGTTTGTCTCCCTCTCTGATAACTGAAAGGAAAGTAATCAGAGGTGGGGCAAATTACTGTGTTTGTATTTTTAAAGAGCTGTGACATTCTGAAATAAGGGATGGAATGCATACACACTTTAATGTGATACCTAAGATTTCAAGTAATCATTGTAATGTTACCCCATGCTTCACAGCACATCCTTAGACCCTGGATTCCAGGTCACATCAGTAAACTGGTGCTCAACAGTATCTTCTCTGCAACCAACAGACGCTCGTTATGCTCAATGAAGAGAAAACATGTTTTCTGGATTCCACACTTGTGTAAGAGAAAGTCCGGGGAAATCTTTCAACTCCGAGCTTTGCTCCTGCTAGCCCACACGATGCCTTCCAGGAGTACTTTACTGTCCATGGAGGCACGCTCCAGGGAACCTGTCAGAGTCACACAGAAGACCAGGTTTTTGGTTTTATTTACAGGAGGTCAGGCTCATGACAGCATGGCCTCTGCCTGAGGTCCTGCTTGTTCCATGTCTTCAGTCTTTTTTAAAATATTTTATTTTATTTTATTTTATTATGTTGATCACAATTAGTTTTTGATGTAGTGTTCCACAATTCATTGTTTTCATATAACACCCAGTGCTCCATGCAGTACGTGCCCTCCTTAATACTCATCACCAGGCTCACCCATCCCCCCACCCCCTCCCCTCTAAAACCCTCAATTTGTTTCTCGGAGTCCTTAGTCTCCCATGGTTCATTTCCCCCTCCGATTCTGCCCCCCTTCATTTTTCCCTTCTTTCTCCTAATGTCCTCCATGCTATTCCTTATGTTCCACAAATAAGTGAAACCATATGATAATTGACTTTCTCTGCTTGACTTATTTCACTTAGCATAATCTCCTCCAGTCCCATCCATGTTGATATAAAAGTTGGGTATTCATCCTTTCTGATGGCTGAGTAATATTCCATTGTGTGTATGGACCACATCTTCTTTATCCATTTGTCTGTTGAAGGGCATTTGGCTCATGTCTTCAGGCTTTGCTCAGATATTGAACTCCCAGTGTTGCTTAAAATGCCAAATTAGATCTTTTCTTAACTTCTATGATTTGGCAGTTCTCCTTACATTTCTCAATCCCTCAAATATGAACATGAGCTCCAACACTAGGGGCCCATGTACTGACACCTTTATTCAGGAACACATTCAATGAAGTTTGAACATACCTTCTTTCCTGGCATAGTAGAAATAAAAAACAAGCAAGAAAATATCGCGAGCTCTGTGAGGGAGTGAAGGTGGCCCCAGGTTAGCCCCAGCCCCAGAGGAGTCACCTCTCTGCCTGGATGTCCTCGCCTGTCTGATGTCTGGAATCACCTCTCTCACCTCTGTTCTAGGACAAGCCCTGTGCAATTTAAGAGACTGCAAATCTTCTTTGGACTCATCAGGGTTTTGTCATGCCAGGCAGTGAATAAGACGCCACTGAAGACCCTGTTGGTGAATTACCTTCCCTCTCCCTCTCTCTCTCTCTGTAAACTGAGGATCCTCACTTTCTTTTTGTGTCCTGTCTCCATGATTAATTAAGATGACAATCTTATTGATCAGAGCTCAGAATGAGGTTTGCTACAATGTGTATTGTATCGATGGGGCCAATAAATGCCCATTGGCCATCGATATCACAGCTGTGCTCACAGGGTTGTGCTCATCTGTTGGCATCAGCAGGTGCCAGGCACCATGCCACTAGTCAACTGGGTGACCTTGTAGAAGACTTAACCTCTTCTTCAGGTCAAGGTCGTTTTATCCGGTAGGCACAGTTGCCCCGGAACCACTCTAAGGCTAAAAAACAATGACTCCAAAATGTGAAGAGAAACTACAAAATTTAAATGAATAAATCTGTAATTATATGGCACTTTTCATGTTAAGCACACAAGCTGCAGCACAACCCATGTGTTTCATATTCAGTGGTGCTCACCGTATGATGCTCTTGTGCTGCCAGGTCTACTCTGAAGTGAGCTGAGCGCCTGGAGTCCCAGCGACTTCACGGCGGCGCTCCCCTGGGCTGGCCTTCCTCCCCATCTCTGCGGTTCTAAGTGAGCCTTTGTCTGCTCAGCTGGGAGGTCAGCCGCTCAGCCTCGGTTCTGCAGTCCCGTGGTATCTCCACCAGTCTGGAGCTAAGTGAGTCGCTGAGTTAATGTTCTAAGATGCTGTTGCTAATATCCGCACTGTTCCAAGGTGAATTCTACAGTAAGCAGCATCTCAGCCTACTTTCTGTAATCCCAATGTTCTATCTCTATTCTTGCTTGACCAATAGCAGTTTTCAAAACCTGGATAGGAATACAGGCAGTGTGGTATAGTAGAAACAAAATGTTTAACAGTTCCATCATGATGGAAGTTTCTCTCTTCGTTCCCTTAAGGGGAAAAGCATGGAATCATAAATTAGAATTATCAACTAAGGTAAATTAAGAATTCATTTGACAAATTACACTCTAGACTGATGAATTTCAATGAATTTTGTCCGACAAAAGCCATCATTTTAAAACTGAAACTGTGTTTCCCAGCGGATAGCAGGAATTGTACTGTGAGAAGGAATCACCTGCTTCAGTGCTCTGCAAACTCCTGACCTCAGCTCCTACAGGACAAAACTGGGATGGTTTGTACCAAACCCCCCAGAGCCTGGCAGGCAAGGAGCTCAGTACACTTCATTTAAATGATTAAGTCAGTAAAAAAGAAAGGGTCATGAATGAACAGACTCTGATGTCTGAATATGGAGGTTATAAAATGTTAATATCCTAAAAGTTAAAAAAAGAAGAAGTCTTCAGCATGTCTATGTGTCTCAACCTTGGCAAATGCATTCATCTTTCTTGATCTTTGGTTCTCTAACATTTGGCAAAGTAGCATCTGCCACATGGGGTGGTCATGGGAATTCAACAACACAACCTAAAATTGGCACCTGGTAGAGGTGAAAATACTCTCAGCTGTCTCTACTCCCCCACTGTCATTATTATATTCAATTTCTTTTAATATATCCAATAGTTTGTGTTAGGAAAGTCTAAAGTTGATTCCTCCAAAATGGCAAATTTTCTAAAGCTTTTGATTAGGAAAATAAATACAGGAGACAAACATAAGGAAAAAGATGCCAAAATGTCTGATGTCACAACATTATATATTATTACAACCCTGAAAATATGAATTATGCAAATTGTGCAATATTGAAAATATCTTTAGAATTATTGATAGTATTTGTTAGAAAGTCCTCATTTTTATTGTGGTAAATATATAACATAACAAACATTTTCACCATTTGTCTGTGTACTGTTCACGGGCATTAGCACATCCATGCTGTGGTGCAACCATCCCCACCACCCACCCCCAGAACTTTCTCACATTCTCAAACTGAAACTCTGAGTGCATTAAACCCTAACTCCCCATTCTTCCTCCTCCCAGCCCCTATTCTATTTTGCAGCCTCTACTTTACTCTCTGTCTCTATGGATTTGACTATTATAGGTACCTCAGTTAAGTGGAATTGTGTACTATGTCCTCCTGGGACTGGCTTATTTCATGGAGCATAACTTCCTCAAGGTCCATCCATGTTGTAGCAGGTGTCAGAGTTTCCTTCCTTTTAAAGACTGATATTATCCCATTGTACTTATGTACCACACGGTGTTTATCCAACTACACATTGATGAACATTTGCACTGTTTCCACATTTTAACTATTGTGAATAATGTTGCCATGAAAATGGTGTGCAAATATCTGTTTGAGTCCCTGCTTTCAGTTCTTTAGGGTGTGTACCCAGAAGTAGAATTACTGGATCATAGGATAATTCTACATCTAATTTTTTAAGGAAACTCCATGCTGTTTTCCATTTTGCATTCCCAACAATAGCACAAAGGCTTTGATTTCTCTGCATCCTTGTCAACTATTGCTATTCTCTGTTTAGTAAGAGCCATCCTAATGGGTGTGGAGGAGTATCTCATTGTGGTTTTGATTTGAATTTCCCTAAAGGTTAATATTTTTGAGAATCTTTTGATATGTTTATTGGCTATCTGTATAGCTTCTTTGGAGAAACATCTACTCAAGTCTTTTGCCCATTTTTTAATTGGTTTGTTTGGTTTTATTACTGTTGTTGAGCTGTAGCAATTCTTTCTATATCCCAGATACTAATCTATTATCAGGTATATGATTTGCGAATATTTTCTCTCACTCTGTGGGTTGTCTTTTCATCCTGTTGGTAGTGCCCTTTAATGCACAAAAGCTTTTAATTTTAATGAAGTTCAATTTATATATTTTCCTTTTTCTGCCTCTGCTTTTGGTATAATATCCAAGAAATCACTGAAAATACAATATCATGAAGCTTCCCTCTGTTTTATTCTAAGAGTTTTATAGTTATTACATTTAGGTCTCTTTGAGTTCATTTTTTATTAAATTAATTTTTGATTAATTTTGATGGATTTCTGATCCATTTTGAGTTAATGTTTGTATATGGTGTGAGGTAAGGATCCAACTTCATTCTTTTGCATGTGGATATCCAGTTTTCCCAACACAATTTGTTGAAGAGATTGTCCAGAAAGTCTTCACTTAAAAAAAAAAAAAATCTTAAAAGGAAGCATTGTTAACATTTTTCAATTTAAACACTAATTTTTATATTAAAATACAAAAATGTTTGCCATTTTTTGTGCACTTACTCTATGCCAGGTAGTATACTAAAGTCTTTGCATGCATTATCTCTAAGATTCTAAAGAGGCTGTGAGATTTATGCTTTTAACAAGTATCTCTTCTATGTCTGATATATCGGCTACTTTTCTAAGCACTGGATTTAGCAGTGAATAAAAAAAGCAAATGAAAACCGCTGGTTTCACAAAGATTAATTCTAGTGGAGGAGACATATAACAAACAAAGAAAATGTGTAGAATTACAGGTAATTGGTATGCTGAGAAAGGTAAACTAAGGAAAGGGTATAGGATTTACGGGGATAATGAAGGGCTGCAATTCAAAATACAAGGGCCAAGCCTCAAGGGGAAGATGACTTTGAGGGAAGACTGAAATTGGTTAGGAGTTGAGCCCAGGGACACAGGAGGAAGGGCATTCCACCTTCTGGCATCGCTCATGCTAAGAGCTTAGGGAGTCAATCACATCCATGGTCCTTCTGGTAACAAATCACAGACAGGGTTGGAACCCAGGTCAGCTGACCCCAAAACCTTTGCTTCTTACCACTACATCACATTAATCAGCCCATCCTCCTGTAATACTGTGAGTTGCTCAGGAAGTTGGTTAAGTCAGTGTGTTCATTGATGGCAGAGTGAAGGAATACCTTCTATTTTCTAGCAGCAAAAACAGCAGATACACTATTTCTTCTGCTTGGAGTGGCCCTTTGGCCCACTCTCCCTGAATAACCTGTATTCATCCTTCTAGTGCTGCTTCCTCAGAAAGGCCGTCCTTGACCACTCAGCCAACCGGTAAGCCCCGAAGTGCCTCTGCTAGCTCCCTGGATGTTCCCAATCACTTTTATCACAATTCACTATTATATATTGACCTCTGCCTTCTTCTTCAGCTTCTTCCTCTATCATGAGATTGTAAATGCCTAAGGAGCAGATGCCAAACTCTGACATGTTCCAACTGTATATCCAGTGCCTGCCACTGCCCCAGGGGTGCAACAGATAATCTAGAATAATTACAGATTCAATAACATGTACAGAAATACACAACAGTTAAATAAGTCAAATGAAACCCTGTTGAAATATTAAACATAGGTGTCCTATCAGGTTTTTATTCCATACAGTTGCCATACACCAAACTGTGAGCCCCACCAGGTCAGGAAGGTGCTTGTTTCTCATTTCACAGTTGCTTGCTCTATAGCACAGTGCCCGGTGAAGGTGACACTCACAATGAATGCTTAATGAAAGCAACATCAGGGACAGGGTTTAGGTAACTTATGTAAATCCTTAGAGTAGTGAGCCATGTTTCAAATTTTACTGCATCTGCTGTGAAATTCTATCTTCTCAACAATCACTCTTTTATATTTATACTGGAGATATTATGTAAAAAAGGTAATGTGTATTGTTGTAGAAAGAGGTAGAAATGAGGCTCCTTCACTAAGTGTTTGTCTCACCAACCACTGAACAGATGAAGTAGCTCACTGTAGATGAAGGTGACCTGCTGGCCCAGGAGCCAGGGAGCCTGCTCTGCCCCCCGGGGGTCGTTAAGCCTCACCTCTTCGGGTCTCAGATGTCACATCTAAAGTGTTGGAGACACTGGCTGGAGTGTTTGGAGTCTGGCTGAACATCTCAAATTTTGGATGGTCCCTAAAACTCACTCCAGCTCAAAATTTCTGATTCTAATTATACTATTCTTTAAGATTCTTGGGAATATTGTCATTTGAAATATGATGTTGGTAATGTCCCAAGCCAACAAGTATTCATGAAAGAGCCTTTCCATGTGGACCATATGGATTTAAAATCTCTTTCAAGTGCAGTATTTAGATTTTGGAACAAATACAGCATTCTTTTTTGGAACAACTAAAGCACTTTTATTATATGTGCTTTGAGCATTTGTAGGCAAAAATATATGTACCTTAAAAATGAAGTGGTCTTCAGGCCTAGTGAAGCTTTGTGGCTACATCAAGGATAAACTCAAAGACATCAGTTGTGGTATGAAATGACAGACGCCTGACATCGTCAAGGCAGGAAGAGCCACACCGCAGTACACAGTACGTGTCTAAGTTTCTCAGCCTTGGCACTACGGACATTTTGGACTGGATAGTTCTTTATCGTGGGGCCACCCTGTGCATTGTGGGATGTTAGCAGCATCCTTGGCCTCCACCTGCTAGATGCCAACACCCTCCCCTGAGGTGTGATGACCAAAATGTCAGTGCAAAAATCACCCATGGGTGGGAGCCCCTAGTGTACATGGAATGTCCGCAGGACACATGACTTTGGAAAGAAGCCCCCATTTACCCTCCCTTGAACCCACAAAAGTGAGCATAATATATGCCTGTAAGAGCAGTAAAAAGACCATTCACTGTGGCAGATGGTCAGCGAACTACTCCAGTACCTATCTCCCAGAGAACTGAACTACACCCACATGAATAAATCAACTGCAGCAGCCTATATCTAAGATTTCAATAAAGTCCAGAGATGTTAATATATTTGCCAAATGTCACACAGTTACATCTATTTGCATAATCTATGGAAATTCATATCATCTTTCTGGATTATCAAATAAACCCAGATTTTAGACTTCTAAAATTGGAAAAACTGAAGCACTTTGTCTAGACTCCTAAAATTTTAGTGGAATGCAGCAAAAGTCTTTCTCATATCCTTTGGAAATTAAAAATGTCACTGTTTCTACACACTAAAATCTCTACGCACTAAAATATTTAAAGGGTTTAAGTTCAGTCATATAAACTGAGATTTGGCAAGTAATCACATATCAGCATGCTGTGCTAAATATAAACAGAGTTTTGACAGAACCTCCTTATCTTCCTCCCCCAAGTTGTCCTGCCCCTCAGCAAGTTAAGAGGGGTGTGGAGAGACACAGTGAGCAGAAGCAGGATGGGAAATTTCAGGGGAAAATCTGAATGCAGCTACAACACCTCTCCACCATCCCCACGTATCTCCCTCCTCCCCACCAAGCCGTGAAGAGGAGACGCTGAAAATGCACAACACCCAAGGCTGAGACGGACTTACCACATAAGTCTGACTTGTGCAGAATCTTTTCTTACTGTATAATAGAGGAAGCCTGAGTAAAACAGTGTGCCCAGGCATGGCTTTAAATGACTGAGGATCCCCTCCACAAGAGAAGAAACTTGGAAACGCTTAGAAAATCTCCCCCAGATTAGGAATGCAGATGGAGTACTATCCAGAAACCGCTGCCCGTCTGTCATTCTAGGGTCTTTACAGGGCTCTCATGGCTGCCAGATGCTGCCGGCTTCCTTGTCCACACAGGCTTTCTTGGGCTCTTCAGAAGCAGCCATCTCAAGCAAAACTTTGTGCTTTCAGGAAATCGGTTGTTAAAGCGTGAGGGTAGGACTGAGTTGGCCACAGTAGTTTGACCCCAGGGAGGTACAATTGTCACAGAAAAGCTCTGTAAAAGGGCAGAGAAGAATCTTGGAAATAGTGTATGCAGGGAACTGCTAGCAAGAGTTGAATAATCATCCATAAACACACTCGGAGATGTGAAGGGAAGACTGCGCACTGCTCTAGAATATGAAGTAGAAGAAAGTCATGGGAGTGAAGTGGATATTTATGGAGAACAGAAAATAGAGGAACTTTATAAAGATCTCTGGTGATACAAAGAAAGCTTGCAGGGATTTAGAAGCACAATAGAAAAAAATATATAAGACACTTTCTTGAGCTGCAAAGCAGCAAATGTAGTCATTCCAGACCAAAAAAAAAATTTAAAAAATCAACCAATAGTGACAACAGATATAGTTGTGTGGACAACAAGAATAAAGAAAGAACTTAAGTTTTATTGAAATAGGATGAGAGCAAATTTGCCTACTCAGAAACCAAAATATAATTTTCCTCTTAAAGCTTAAATGTCAAAATATAATGGAATAAGGCCTACCAGTGTTTGAAAGAGGACACATGACTACATCATGTTTTAATCATCAAGGTGTGTTTGATCTAATAAATAGAAATAGCAGAGTTCAAAACAATCCCACTCATGAAGCCTTCTTGAAAAATCTCCCCGGAGAGTAATTCCAATCCAGCACGACAGGAATCCAAGCAAAGAGTTCAAGAATGGAAAAATACCAGTAAGTATTGAAACCAATTAAACACAGACATGTCTAAAGAAATCTGTTTACAGAAACAGACTCAGATATCAAAAATATGTTTCAATCACAAAATATAGAATGTGAAATATAGTGACGTATGTTATGGGTGGAACTGTGCACCCTTCAAATCCATAGGCTGAAGCCCTAACTGCCAACATGACTGTAACTGGAGAGGCCTTGTGGGCTTTCACGAAGGTCAAATGAGGTCACAGAGCATGTTCCTACTCCCAGAGGACTGGTGTTCTTACAAGAATAGGAAGAACCCCAAGGAAGCACTCACAGAGGGAAGACCTGGGAGGACACAGCTCACAGAAAACACAGCTCACCAAAAACCAACCTCATCCATGCCCTGATAGCCTTCCAGCCTCCAGGACCAAGAGAACATGCACGTCTATGTGCAGGCCACCAAATTCATGGTATTTTGTGAGGGCCATGGGACAGACGAGTACAATGTGCCATAAAGTGACTCCTATTTTTAAACATAGATTTTAAGAATAGGATGTTGTCAAATTGAATGTGACAACTAGGGAACACAGGCTAAAATGATTTTAATACAAATAGCCAGTAGTATAATTATACAGTCAAAAAATAGCATCTAAAATATGGGTAAATAGTGTTTTATTATTAGTTTTAAGAAGTGGAAATAAAGCAAGCATGCAATTAACAATTCTGTAGAAAATAAGGACAGCAGTCTGAACAATAAAACAAAAATAAAGAATCAGAAGACAGAAATACAATGAATTATATAATTCAAATGTTAATCTTTAAAAATAAACAATAAAATAATTATTTTCTGAGAGTATTCAATAAATAAAAGAAAATGCAAAATCACAACATTAGAAACACAGTTATGAAGAGTATTTTCCATCCTAGAAACATAGACCTTATATATCATGTATTTACTAATCTAACATAATTATACATTTTGACCAGGTAGTATTTATATAAAAAATGCAAGGATAGTTTAATACTAATATATGCACTATCAGAATTCATCACACCCCTTGGTCAAGGAAAAATATTATTTCTAGAGATCATAAAACTACCTTATAATAAAATCCAGCTTCTATTTATGGGGAAAAAATCTTCCGTTTATACCAAACTTGGCTTTAAAACAAATCAGTTGCAAACAATCATCAAAAACCTTAATGTCAGACTAATACAAGAAATTCATTCTTAAAAAATGAATAAGAGAGGGTGCTGTTTTTTAAAATCAAGAATAAACAAGGATGCCCAATATTGTCACAATTATTTAGTATAAACAATAACTACAATGAAATGTATATTCTGGCCTCTAACCCAAGGTAATGACAAAAATTATCTCCAATCCTTGCACTGACCCATGAAGGTGATTTTATTTCCCGTTTAGTGGACACTTTCACAGGGACATGACTTGGGGAAAGTCACTCAGATGTGAACAGTAGAGCTGGGATTGAACTGGTCTAAGTCCACTACTTTTGACCACTTGTCATTGATTTCCTTGTTCTGGATATTCTACCTGATTCAATAAAACAAAACAAAGAAGGGGCACTTGGGTGGCTCAGTCAATCGAGCGTCCAACTCTCGGTTTCAGCTCAGGTCATGCTCTCAGGCTCGTGAGATTGACCCCCACATCGGGCTCCACACTCAGCAGGGAGTCTGCTTGAGAGTCTCTCTCTCCCTCTCCCTCTGCCCCTCCCCAATGTTCTCTCTCAAATCAATTATTAATTAATTTAAAAAAAGACAAAACAAAGAAGAAAGAAGCAAACATGGGAAAACAGGAGACCAAATTAGTGCAGCTTGTAGGTCATGAGACCTGTAAAGCCCAAGGGAGCCTATTGGAAATTAGTAATGAAATAAGGTGATCAGACACAAGTAAATGTGAAAAATCTCAGTGCTGGTATCAAAAAATATGATGGAAAAGACTCTTTTTATAACAGCAACAAAAAATATAAAGGACCTAGGAATGCACATTCATAAATGTAGAGGACCTATATGGTAAATCTGTCATTTGTTTTTTTACTAATATTTTTTTTTAAAGATTTTATTTATTTGACACAGAGAGAGAGAGAGCTAGAGAGGGAACACAAGTAGGGGGAATAGGAGAGGGAGAAGCAGGCTCCCTGCCGAGCAAGGAACCTGATGCAGGGCTCGATCCCAGGACCCTGGGATCATGACCTGAGCCGAAGGCAGACGCTTAACGACTGAGACACCCAGGTGCCCTGGTAAATCTGTCATTTGTTGATGGTGAAAACTCTAAAAGACCTGGATAAATAAAGAGATAGGTCTCGAATTAAAACAAAATATTGGAAGGATATTAATTCTTCCCATATAACTTGACAGAATAAATCTAAACTCATTTACAGAAACAAATAGAGAAAAATTAAAAAACAAAGTACAGTAAGTTGCCATTTGTATAAATGACATTAAAATGTATTTTAAGTTTTAATAATTAATAAAGTATTACAATGGTACAGCAACTGATGAATACATAAAGAGATCGTGCTAAAAATAGACTCAAGACATATACAAATATTTTTCACATGATAAGTGTTTTCCAATAAGTAACATGAATTAAAGCATTAAGCGTAATAGAAAGACAAATGTCTAACATTATTTTATTTATTCAGGTATAATTGACATACAACATTGTATTAGTTCCAGATGGACAACATAATTATTTGATAGATGCATGTATTGCAAAATGATCCCTCCAATAAGTGTAGCTACCATCCATCACCACACAGTTATAGATCTTTTCTTGTGATGAGAACTTTTAAGATCTGCTCTTTTAGCAACTTTAAAATATACAAGACAGTGTTATTAACCATGGTCACTATACTGTACATTACATCTCCATGAATTATTTTATAACTGGAAGTTGGCACCTTTTGACCACTGAAGGGTTAGATTTTAAATAAACACGCTGGCTGATACTGGGGTTTTAGATGAAGTCTCCTGGGTTATATCCGTCAATGCTGATAAAGCAAATTTCTCAAGCACAGAACTATGCAGTGTCCACAGATATTCATAATACTAACCCTGAAGCAAGATGCTGAATTGTTTCTGAATCACCAAGGCAAGATTAAATTATGTACTATAATTTTGTGTTCCCTGTGTTTTAATATATTTAAATTCTTTAGAAACTGACCAGTGATGAAGACTAGCTGGTAACTTCAGCCACTGGCCTCGCTTCTGTGCTTCTTTCCTTGTTCCATCCTCTACTGTCCTGTTAGAGTTCGAATAAAATCTACTCTTCAAAAAGAATTATTATATTCCTGATTAATCAGATAATTTCTCTCCTTCAGCCGGGCTTGGAAAAAGATTCTTCCCTGCTTAGATATGAGTGATGAAATCTGGATACTTATTTCCAGAACTATAGATCTCATGTTGCAGAGTATATTTTCATGAAGGAATTTAATCTTATTTCAAAAGACATATGGGTGTCATGTTTTTTTATGACTTTGGTAAATTGCACCTGACAAAGTAATGAAGGTATCAAGCCTGAGCCCTTAGAGAAAATGAGTGGAGTGAGGGGGCTGGGGAGCAGTCCTACAGAGTCTGACACCCAGTCACCTCCAGGTGCCAGTGCAACCTCTGACACTGAGGTGTGGATTCTTGGGACTTCGTTTTCGAAGGAGCAACTTGATGGAGAAGAGGGAGGTCTCCCAAGCACTGAGCAGCTCATGAAGGTCAAGCATGCGTCACACAGAGTCCTAGTGACCAAAGGAGATGTCCTGGACAAAATATGCTGCTGCTGGCGGTGACTCACTTCTAGAAAAGCTGCAGAATTACTGAAAGTACATTCTGTTTGAGGGTGCCCATTCCATCCTAAGTGCTCTCTTGGGTATAGCTGCCTTTATTGTCTTCTAATACCAAACCAGTGATACTTCAGTTGTCAAAACAAGTAATAGTCAACCTAAGAGGGATGTAACCAGAAACGTAAAGCAGCGTCAAATTTTCTTCTGGTAACAAATCAGAATTATCAAAGGGCACCCATTATATTCTCAATTATGTTTTGTTTTGTTTTTTGCAAAATACTGTATAAGGAGTGCATGGATACTGTGAAAAGGAAAGTATTTCAAACAATATCTGGAATGACCTCCTGGGCACTGCAGAATTTTTAGAGTTCCTAACTCAACTTAATCCAGCAGGCAGATACTATAGCATTTCAGGATATGGTCACATGCGTATTTTAAATTATGTCATCTAGATGGATGAGATATAAAATCACTACTTATGCTTTCTTATTCAACAAATGAGGATAAAAGAAAGAGAAAAAGAAGGGGAAAGGAAGGAAAGGAGGAAGGAAGGAAGAAGGGAAAAATAAGAGAAATGAAGAAAAACAAACAAATAAATAAAACAGGAAGCAAGGAAAAGTGACCAGAAGGAGAAGGATCAACAGGAGGAAGGATGGGACTAGCCCATGCCAAGCTCTGCACTAGCAGAGGCCACTGACACAGAGATCAAGAGGATCAGCCCCTGGCCTGATGGAGCCCACACTCTTAAAGATGTGACAGTAATTGTAATACATTGTGCTAATACCCAAAGTAGGGGGTTAAAAATAGACTTGATATAAATACATATTTAATTTTAGTTATGAAAATTATTTTAATAGCAAACATATACTATAATAAATCAATTTTTGTTGATGATTATCTAAAATAAAAGGAAATTTAAAAGTCTTGGATTTTTATCTTTTAATGGAAGAGATCATTTTTTAAATGTGAAATAAGAATTTTACCCTCTAATATCTTCAAAAGCAAATGAGGAGAGAAGAAAGACATGAATTTTTTTAAAAAATGGATATAACTTCATACACATGTATCATGAGTTTTTAAAGAACATCTTGGAAAAACATAACAACTATCTCAAGAATTATACCATTTTTGGTAAAAACTCTATGTATTATTGACAAAAGCATAACTATAGGAAATTACTACTTTCGTAATTCAAATGAAAAATAAAAACTAACACCAAAAAGAAAATTAATTCATTAGCTGGAGGCAATATTATAGAGAAAATGCAGGAGTCAATGAAGAGTCAATGAATTATGCCTTTGATACGTACCACACAAAAACACAATAATCCTTAGGAAATATTTATCTAGAGAAAAACATTTCAAAACTAAATTTGATTACAAATCACTATCAGTAAAAAGAAAAAAGGAGATACTGATGTTGTATGAAATCAGATTTCATACATTCCTATGTTTTAAATATGAATCAGATAACAAGACATATGTTTTACTATACTTATTTTTAAAACTTGGATAAATTTGGTATGAATTCCATGCAGGATCACAGACTTGTTGACTAGGCATAGTTAATAATCTATTATGGAACTGAAAAAACTAGAAACAGAAATCTACTTTTTGTATGCTGACCTTAATATGATTAATTTCCACTTCTCTGAAATGTCCAACTAGCAAAGGTGTAACCAACAGTTATTAACAAACAGTTAAGGTAACTCCAGCTTTTGATCTTGACCTGGACTCATCAAATAAAGCTCAAGCTAAGTGATACAACAAAGGTGTGAACTTTTTTACTGAGTAGCACTGCCTTTTAGCATGCTGAATCCAATAGCACATTAAAAGGATTATACATCATGCAAGGATTATACAAAGTAGAATTTATCCCAGCAATACAAGGACAGTTCAATATAAGAAAATCAATCATGTAATACACCACATTGGTAAAATGAAGAAAACAACACACACCCACATGATCATCTCAATAGACACAGAAAAAGCATTTGATAAAATTCAACACGACTTCTTCATTTAAAAATACTCAGCAAACTAGGAATGGAGGAGAACATCTTTAACATGATAGAGGGCAATTGAAAAACTCACAGCTAGCATCCCATTTGTTAGTGAAAGACCAAATCTTTCCCTCTAAAATCAGGAACAAAAAGGATGCCCACTTTCACAATGCTATGCCAGCTAGTACTGGAAGTCCTAGCCAGCGCAATCAGGCAAGAAAAAGAAATAAAAGGCATTCAAATTAGAAAGAAAGAGGTAAAACTATATCTGTTTGCAGAAGACTTGATTCTAAATATGGAAAATCCTATAGAATCCACATAAAAAACAAACTAATTATTAGAGCAAATAAAGAAATCCAGCAAAGTTGCAGGGTACAAGGTCAACACAAAAAAATCAGCTGTGTTTTTATACACCAGCATTAAATAATCTGAAAGGAAATTAAGAAAGCAATTCCATTTACAATAGAGTTCAAAAGAATAAAATATTTGGAAAGAAATTGAACCAAGAAAATAAAATAATTAGACACTGAAACTATAAAACATTGCTGAAAGAAATCAAAGAAGACTTCAATGAATGGAAAGACATCCCACGTTCATGGGCTAGAACACTCAATATTACGAATATGGCAAGTGATCTATGGATTTGGGCAATCCCTTTCCAAATTCTAATGACCTTTTTTTGCAGAAATGGAAAAGGTGATTCTGAAATTCATATGAAATTTTAAGGAACCCCAAAATAGCCAAAACCATCTTGAAAAAGAAAAACAAGGTAGGAGGACTCACACTTCCTAATTTTAAAACTTATTACAAAGCATTCGTGAATTCACCCACTCACCAGAATTTACTTGTAACCTGAAGTCCACATGTCAGCACTTGCTGCAGGGCTACTTGAAGATAAGCACAGAGAAGCAAGAAGTCTGAGCTGCTTGAGGCCCATGTTCAAAGCTGAGATCAAGGCTGCCCTCTGCCTTCTTGTTTCAGCTCCTGTCATGGAACAGTGTACTATTTACAGGTCATGTAGTGTCAAATCTCTGCATTTTTTTGTGTTTTTCTTGTAGATTTTGCTGTTTAAACGGCCCCTAAGAACAGTGCTGAAGTGCTGTCCAGTGTTCCTGAGAGCAAGAACAGAAAGTTCATGGTAAAATAGCCCTCACATACAGATTCTAGCAGCTCTATCATGAGCATCTATGTCTTGTCTTCATTAATTGTTAGTTTTACTCTTCATTTTTATCAAGGTTATTCAGGCACGAAGGCAACATTATTTTCCCTTTCAGCTCACACCACTGCACAGTGATTCCACATCTCTGTATCACAAGTCTGAATGTATACTTTTGAAATTTTAAGATTAGGCATGTTCTATTGCATTCCCACTGGCCCCATTTCCAACTCCAGACTCCAACATAAACTCCCCATCTTCCTCAAATACCTACCTTGTACTTCAGGCCAAATCACTATTTAGTATTCACATTTTTGTGACTGCAAATTCAGTTGACATAAGACATACAATAAACTATGGATCTGTTTTTTAAAAGAAGATTTGGTTGTTTCTAGAGTTAATTATTGCCCATCTCTTTGTCTTTTAGCTCTAGCTTCCAAAGATGATTTCCTCAACAATACTTTCCAGCTCTTTTACTGAGTTAATGTTTTATATATTATGTTATATATAATTATATGTTATGTTATATATATACATATAAACATACACATACACATAAATTTTATGTTATATATATTACATATGTATTACATATATATATGTATGCTTCTCTAAGGGTTCACTGTTGTCCTCTGAATGATTCTGTGTAATGCTTGTTCTCACTGGGGGCTCTGATACCATCCCTAACCTCCATCAAGATGGTATTGATTATTTTGTTTTCTTCTGCTTGCAAAGTCTTCAAATTCGTGTATTTGCTTGTTGTCTATTTGTTCTCTATCTTTCCTGGTAATATGCCTGGTAATCACTGTTTTTCTTTCATAGTTAAGAGACTATGTATTAAAGATAGACCAAGTATTAAACATAGAACACCCCATCCCATGCCACTCATCATCCCTGCAGTGGACCCAACCTAACCCCGTTCAGAGGTTGAACTTGGATTTTGTTCCAGTTGCTAAAGGGCTCTGAGTTCTAGGAATGTTGTTTCTCTCTGAGCATCTCTAAGGCTAGCTAGGGGAACATACACCTGCTTACTTTCATCCTCCTTGGGAGTGAAGGTGCCTGAAAGATAAGCAGCCTGTCATTCATTAAACCTGATGCAATGACTTCCACCAAGGCTACCTGTCCAGGTAAAGCTGCATCAATGTTCCACCCAGTATAATGTGACATAGCCTGCAGCCTCTCTTGCTAAAGAAGGAAAATTTACAAGTTTAACCTCTGTAAAGAGAATGGGTGTAGTGGGAGAGGGATGGGAACATGATGGCATTAAACATCTCAGAGAAGGCTGGCACCTCCAGGAATGGGAGAGCTGGACTTTGCCTACACTTCCAAGTCCTGGGCACTCATACCAGCCTGCCCAGAGAGTCCAGGCAGCACCTGCAGGAAGATGCTGCCAACAGGAAGATTTAGATGTTTGGCCTGCTTCAGGGGAAAAAAAGAAAGAAATGGCTTAATCTTACATAAAACTCAACATGCACAAAGAACACAAAGACATGAGGGGTTTTGGAATAACGGTCTGGAGGTGTATTCTAAGTGTGGATCAGGCAGCAAAATCGTGTTATCTGGTGATCATTTTGACTCAGGATTGGCAATAAACACTTTTGCCTTTCTTTCGGTTAGAGTCAATGGAGGGATGTCAGCTCTGAAGTACAAAAGTGCTGGCATTTAGCAGAGCCAGCTGAGAGCCACAGATTGTGTATCCAAAGCAATTATATTTTTAAACATGTTCAAAGTTATTTTTAACCTTTTATAGTCCTTTCTGGTTTTCACTGTTCAGAGACTATTTTAAACCTTTTTCTTATTAAATTTGGAAATGTAGACAAGGACAATTACTGCAAATTGTGAATGAAAGAGAAAGGGGCCACCCCCACAAGAAGAGAAGTCTGTGGGCTGAGAAGAGGGAGGGCACACCTGAGGAGCAGGTTCTGTGGACATACCCTACCCACCAGCATCTCCTCAGACAGGGACCCTCTGCATGTGGCTGGATGTCTCACCTTTGCTGTGACCCCTTGGTGTCCTGTCTCCACATTGACTCAGGCACAGGCAACCCCTTTATTTTCACCCACAGTGAGTGTACCAGGGTGAAATGTACCTAACAGAGCTTTGGGTGTTGTATGCTCATCTTTCTTTCTTGCCCTGCAAACTGCCTGCCCATCAGCTTGTCCCCTGGCACCTTCTTTCTGTACATCTTGGCTCTCCGGGCACCACTGAGTACCTCTGTGCACCCCTGTCCTCCAGGCAACACTGTGTGCCTCTGTGCACCCCTGTCCTTCTCCAGGCAACACTGTGAACCTCTGTGCACCCCTGCAATGGGGGTTCCTGGCTGCATTCAGGATGCTCCAGTCAGCTCCCTGGAGCCTCCTCACCACTGATGCATGTATAGTTCACTCCCTATTTAATGACAGGAAGAGGCATCTTTTTCAGGACATTCTTTACAAGCATGTGGTCCTGATGCATCTCCTTTCCCTTTGCATTTTTCAGTCCTGGGCTTATAGCTCAGTCCTTGCCCTGTGTCCCTCTCTGAAGGAAAATGCCCTTCCCCAGGTATGCAGTCTCTCTTCCTTGACCTTGCTTTCATTCTTCCTCTGCTTCTTCTCAATCTAAAGAGAGATGCGGTGGACTTGGACCACAGTGGAATGAAGGAACCAGTGGGCAGGTTCATGGGAGAGGGGATGAGGCAGAACAGAGGTGTCCCCCAGTTTACTGGGGACAGAGGGTTCACCAGTTAATGGAGAGTGGGATCAAAACTAGTAGTTCAGAGGTGTCTGGAAAAATGACTGTGTTGCATTAATTTAGAAGAACAATTTAGAGATTTGACAGGTTCTGTTGAGGAATTTTTTACTTTAAAGAATAAGAATCACACAAAAAAATATATTTGAATCTCTTCCAGAGAGGCATCAAATATGAACTCCCATTTTGTGTGTGTGTGTATTTTTGTGTCTAAGCATGGAATAGATTTCTTTTTTCTTTTTTTATTGTTGTTTTTGAGGGTTTTTTAAATTGAGGTAAAATTTTCATACAGTCAAATTCACAGATCTTAAGGGTACATTTTTAAAAGACTTTATTTTTAGAACAGTTTTAGGTTCACAGAAAAACTGGGAGGGAGGCCTAGAGGGTTTTCATTCACCCCATGCCCCCCGCCATGCACAGCCTCCCCCATAGTCAACACCCCCACCAGAAGACACATCTGTTACCAAGGATGAAACCATGCAGAGACATCAACATCACCCAGAGTCTAGAGTTTCCATTACGGTTCAGACGTGGTGTTGTTCATGCTGTGGGTTTGCACAAACATATAGTGATGTGTATCCAACACTATGGCATCGTAGAATATTTTACTGCTCTAAGAATGTTCTGTGTTCCACCTATTCATTCCTCTCACTGCACTCGGCCCCTGGCAACCACTGGCTGTTGTTTTGTTTTCACAGTTTTGCTAGGGGTGCAAACTTGATATTTTGATGAATACACAGTCACAAACCACCATGCCAGTGCATTATTTTCCCAATTCTGATGCAACAAGTTACCAAACTTGGTGGCTAAACCAGTGCACATTTATTTTCTCATAGACCGGCAGTCAGAAATCCAAAATGAGCTTCACTGGGCCAGAGTCAAGGTGTTGGCAGGGCCTTGCTCCCTCCAAAGCCCTGGGGCAGAGTCTGTTTCCCTGCCTTTTCCAGCTTCTGGAGGCTGTCCTCATCTGTAGCTCATGGCCCTGCCTCCCACAACATTTCTCCCCTTCCTCTAGGACCTCATCTGCTACTCTTCTGTCTTCAGACCTCCCTCTGCCCACCTCTTGTAGGACACACTGATCCAGAATGGTCTCCATATTTCAAGATCACCAACTTGATCACATCTGCAAAGTCCCCCTTCCATATAAAATAACACACACAGGCCCAGGGATTGGGACTTGGATATCTTTGGGGGCCACCATTTCAACGCATCACAACAGTCAAGATATAAAAACATTTCTATTGTGCAGAAAGTTGTATCATTCCTACAGGGATGGACACCAACCCCCACAGAAACCACTGTTCTGGTTTCTATCAACAGGGATTGTCCATTCTTACCCTTTCTTGTGAAGGGAGTAAGGCAACACACACTCTCCTGTGCATGTGTCCTTTAGCTAACATAGGGTTCTAGGACTTATCTATGCTGCTGTGTGAATCACTGTCATTCCTTCTTTATTGCTGAGTAGTAGCTACAGTATGATTGTATCATATTTTTTAAAATCTATTTTACCCCTACTAGTGGGTATTTGGATTGCTTATAGCCTTTGGGGTCATGAGAGAAGCTCCTACAGACATTCTTGAGCAAGCCTTTTTGTGGACAGACTTTTTTCATACATCTTGTGTAAATACCAGAGTGGTACCACTAAGTCATATTGCAGGTATATTTTTACCTTATAAGAACCTGCCAAAAGTTTTCCAAAGTGATCAAGCCATTTCTCACTCCCTTGGCAACGTATGAAAGTTTAGTTGCTCCCCAACCACCACCTCCACATTTGGTTGTTTAATTTTTTTATTTTAGCAGGGCACCTGGGTGGCTCAGTCAGTTAAGTGTCTGCCTTCAGCTCAGGTCATGATCCCAGGGTCTTGGGATCAAGCCCCAAATGAGGCTCCCTGCTCAGCAGGAAGCCTGCTTCTCCCTCTCCCACTCCCCCTACTTGTGTTCCCTCTCTCGCTGTGTCTCTCTCTGTCAAATATATAAATAAAATCTTTAAAAAATTTTTTTGATTTTAGCAAATTGTAATGTCACATTCTGATATTAATTTACATTCCCTGATATCTAACATTTTTTAGCACCTTTGCATATTTCTACTGTGTATATGTATATCTTCTTTAGTAGAACGTCAGCATGAGTCATTGAATCATCTTTATTTGGTTATCTATTTTTTATTGATTCATTTGAGTTGTTTATATATTGTTATATGTTGTTTATAAGTCTACTGTCAGATATATG